CCGGGGAAGTGAACTCATCTCAAAGTTCCAGCAAAAACAAGCATTGTAACTCCCTTCAGACACTGTCCAGAACCTGCTCATGAACAGCCACAGAGAGCAAGCCTTGTGGCTTCTTAGCCACATTTCCTTAGGGGGCCCCAAACACAATCATGCCACCTGACCATTTCTGGTGCGGTCCTGGTTCTGCGGTGAGGGCCTACTGAAGCTGGGCTCGTAAGCTCTGCAAAGGGATTCCAGCCAAGGCAGCCTCAGCTGCTCCCCAGAAGGGGACAGCACAGCGCGCTTTAGTCCTAGGTGTGTCTTCCCAAGCCCATCAAATGGCCTTGGCATTGTCCCTCATTGCCCAGCTGTTCTGGGCAGATGTGAGAGGGGCTGCAGGTTATGAGGGGGGGGCAACTCGGAGGTTTCGTGCATAGAGAGTGTTTGAGGTCAGTCATTGCAACAATTTGGGACAATGTGTGTGTGTGTTAACTTTTGGAAGTTACAAACCTCTGAAAATATACAAAAGCTGTGCCCACTGTCCCCAGAGAAGTACATAAATCTTGAGGCTTTGGGCACCACTTACCATTTTAGGGGTTTTATGAACTCTAGAAGCTTCTTCAGATATCCCAGGTTAAGAACCCCTGCTCTGAGGATCCGGTTTAGTACAGAACTACAAAGACCAGTTAACTTCATCTAGGGTGTCTGGGGCTTGGCCCAGAGTGAACCTTCCTGTTCAGCTATGAAGTCAAGCAAGCAAACAGTCCCAGGACTGCTGTCCAAGCCCCTGGGGCTGCTCTCAGCTCCAGGTAGGGACTGCAGCCTAAAACCTAGCTGTTTGCACAAAGGCCAGGCTGGGGAATTTCTGTGAAAGTCCTTCCTCCCAGGAGGGTATGGGTCGGCTTTGTAGGAGTGTTGTGGGGTTTCAGGAGACAAACTGCTAAGGATTTGAGAAGTTAGAACCAGTAAGGTTTCCAACAGCTAGCCTGGGGGAACTGAACAAAACAAAAGGAAACTGAACCCTGCTATGAACAAAGCAGCCAAGATTGAGACACCAGACCCATTTCTATCAATTTTGAGAGGTCTCAGAGATCATCTGGTCCAAATCCTTTTTTTGTGCTGTGGAAGGAACTTGCCCAGACCACAGAACTGGTATGGGGAAGAGCAACTTTGACTCAGCATCTGCCCTTGACTGAGAAGGTCATGGACACAGGCACCGTGCTTGCAGTTAATGCAATAGCCATGTGGGGGCGCCCATGCTCTCTCTCATCTTGCCTTCAGTCTAGCCCATGTTTCCAAACTCCATGGCTCTGATCATCCCAGTCTCCTAACAAAAAGCACCTATTGCTTGTTGAGCAATACTGCATGCCAGACACCACTAGGAGCTTTAAATAGCCACAGAAAAAAAGCTATATATTCCCACAATCACATTTTGCACACAGAGAAGACAGGATCCACACTTTTTTTTTTTTTTAAGACTTACTTATTTATTTGAAAGACAGAGTTACAGACAGACAGAAAGGGAGAAACAGGGAGAGCTCTTCCATCCGCTGGTTCACTCCCCAAATGGCTGGGAAGCGCTGAGGCTGGTGCTCGGCCAGGCCAAAGCCAGGAGCCAGAAGTTGCATCTGGGTCTCCAATGTGGGTGCAGAGGCCCAAGCACTTGGGCCATCTTCTGCTGCATTCCCAGGCCATTAGAGGGAGCTGGATCAGAAGTAAAACAGCCAGAGGGTTGACACCCTTATGGAATGATGGGGTCGCAGGCAGCAGCTTAACCTGCTACACCAAGACCCTGGCCCCAGGGTCCATTCGCTTTGAGTCATTCCTTGAAGGTTACAGAGCTAGTGAGTGCAGGATCAGGATTCAAAAAGCTTTTCTATCTGTCTCTAGAGTCTGGGCTTTCATACCCCATCACTGCCTTTCCTAAGAGTAGACACCCCCTAGCCGGGGATAGTTGCACATCCTGGGTAAGCACTTGCTACTGTATGGGAAGTGTTTACACGTGTTTCCTAGCCACTTCATTAACCATTCAACATAGGTTGATTCAAAGCCCTCCAACTGCCGAGTACTACTGCTCTATGCCCTTGCTGCTCAGAGTGCTCGCTGGGCCAGCAGCAGCAGCACTGGGGAGCTTTTTAGAAACATAAAATATTTTTTTTAAAGCTACTTATTTGAGAGATGGAGAGAGAGAGAGAGAGAGAACTTTCCCTTTCATTGGTTCACTCCCCAAATGCAGAACTCAATCTGGGTGGCAGGGACTCAATGTTTGAGTCACCACTTGCTGCCTCCTAGGGTACACATTAGCAGGAAGCTGGAATGAGAAGCGGAAATGGGAATGGAACCCAGGCATTCTGACATGGGATGCAGGCATCCCGAGTAGTGTCTCTATTTTATTTTTATTTTTTTAAGATTTATTTATTTATTTGAAAGTCAGAGTTACACAGAGAGAAGGAGAGGCAGAGAGAGAGATAGGTCTTCCATCACTCTCCAACTGGCTGAAGCCAGGAGCCAGGAGCCAGGAACTTCTTCAGGGTTCCTCCATGTGGGTGCAGGGGCCCAAGGACTTGGGCCATCTTCTACTGCTTTCCCAGTCCAAAGCAGAGAGCTAGATTGGAAGTGGAGTAACCGGGACTCGAGCTGGCACCCATATGGGATGCTGGCACTGCAGGTGGCGGCTTTACCCACTAGGCCACGGCACTGGCCCCCCAAGTAGTATCTTAACCGTTGCACCAAATACCCACCCTGAGAGGTAAAATCTTGAGCCCCGCTATAGACCTGAGTCAGAACTGGAATTTAAACAAAGCTCCCAGGTGACTGACACACACATTAAAGTTTGAGAAGTGTGTCTTTATAGTAGTTCTGTAAGACCGTGCAATGAACAAGCCTGAATGAATAGATTTGGAGATGCTGTCAGAGGTACTAGGACTTGCTTGTATTCTCACAGCTGAGGCATTATGGGAAGGCAACTGGTGCAGAGTTAAGATGTCACTTGGGACACCTGCATCCCATACCAGAGCGCTCGAGTTCATTCAGTTCCCACTATGCTTATGATCCAGCTTCCTGCTAACGCCTAGCCTGGGAGGCAGCAGGTGGTGGTTCAAATATGTGAATTCCAGGGTTGGTTGCCATGGAGCAGCGGGTTAACACCCTGGCCTGCAGTGCCAGCATCCCATATGAGCGCTGGTTTGAGACCCAGCTGCTCCACTTCCGATCCAGCTCTCTGCTATGGCCTAGGAAAGCAGTAGAAGATGTCCCAAGTCCTTGGGCTCCTGCACCCATGTGGGAGACTGGGAAGAAGCTCCTGGCTCCTGGCTTTGGATTGGTGCAGCTCCGGCCGTTGCGGCCATCTGAGGAGCGAATCATCGGATGAAAGACCTCTCCCTCTCTCTCTCTGTGTGTGTGTGTAATTCTGACTTTCAAATAAATAAATCTTAAAAAAAAATATGAATTCCAGCCACCCACATAGGCAACATAGATTGAGTTCCAAGATCCAGGCTTTGGCCTGCCCAGTCCTGGGGTAAACCAGGGGATGGAAGATCTCTCTGTGTCTGTGTCTTTCTCTCCCTTTCAGATGTTTTAATTCATAATGAGGCACTCTGTCTAAAAAACTTAAACACCAGTGTCTTGTACATAGCATGTGCTCAATGGACAACAGCTATAATATATATATAACATGACAGACCCAAGCTGCGTACTGTCTGGTTTCTCACCTGCCCAGCTCCTTGGCCTCAGCAGATTCCTCTTAGAGACCAGGCATCGGCATGACCAGGTGAGGCAAGGACCGTGGCCATGGTTTCCCTCCCAGCACAGCCACAAGCTACAGAAGGGACCACCAGCGTTCTAGAAACCAGCCTGGGGTGAGCCTGATCCCATAGCAGGAGGCATCAGGTGGAGAGGATGCTACTCTTCAGAAGATAGAAAGTGGGGGACCCCTCTCCCGGAGCCTCATCCCCTCTGCTCCGGGGTTTCTCTCTGGCTGGGGACCTGGCTATCCGGAGCCTTTCTCTCCTCTCCCTGCCCCAGCCCTTTCAGCAAGCGGGCACTGTACTGCTCCCTGTTGGCAGCCGACACGGTGGCATCTCTGAGGACCACTGGCTGGGCTTGGCCAGGGTCGCGCGGCTGGCTGTTTCCTGAACACCTGCTCGGGCACTTCCCCAAACTTCCTCGCTGCCTTCCTGGAAAGTGCTGGCCGGGCATCCCCCCTGGAGAACCAACGGCAACAGAGGTATTTTATCTTTGAATAATCTATTCTTTTATCTTTCATTTATTGAAATAAAAAACACAAAACTTTAAAGCAAAATTTGCTGTGAGTGAAAATTCAAATATAAAATAGAAAATCCCCCCCTTTAAAAACTTCAGGAGGGCCCAGCATTGTGGCGTAGCAGGTAAAGCCGCTGCCTGCGACATGGGCATCCCATGTGAGGAAGACAAATGGGGGGATGGGGGTAGGGTGCGGGTTCAAGACCCGGCTGCTCCACTTCTGATCCAGCTCCCTGCTAACGTGCCTTGGAAAGCAGCAGAAGATGTACCTGGGCCCCTGTCACCCACTTGGGAGACTTGGCAGAAGCTCCTGGCTTGGGCCTGGCCCAGCACCGGCCATTGCAGCCATCTGGGGGGTGAACCAGCAGATAGAAGATCTCTTTCTGTCTCTCTGTGTAACTCTGACTTAAATAAATAAATGACTTCACGGGAATTTCTTGACAACCTGGATCCTTTCCGTCATTCCTAGGCTCCGAGGACGAGCAGAACCAACAGAAAGGTTTGTCTTGTGCCCGCACCCCACAAAGTGCTCCCATTCAGCAACGCACCCGCCTTCTTCCATCACTGTCTTGTGTTCTGATCCTCAGTCTCCAGTTCTAGTCCCGGAACCCGCCAACCTCTCACCCCGGTACTCTCCACCCTTGGCGGCTGCCCCGCCTCCAGCAGCCCACCCCCCAACACCCTCCCCAAAGCGGCGCCCTCTCCAGGAGAACAGGGCCGGCGCCGCCAGGACGGGGCCCCGCCCCCAAGGGGCGGAGCGCCGCAAGCCCGCCTCCATCCCGGCTTCGCCCCGCCTCCTGCGCGCACGCTCCGGGCCGGCGTCGGAAGCGAGCGTGCGAAGTGCGCTGCAGAGCCGCGGCGAGCCCAGGGCGGCCGCCCGGAGCCGGTGAGTTCGGCAGCCAGCCGCTCGCTGCGCGCCCGCCTCCTCGGCCCGACCGGGGCCTGCGGAGGGGTGCAGGCGGGGAGGGCCGTGCGGCTCCCGAGCCGAGGCTCTGCGGAGTGTGCGCGGCGCGGCCTCGCGCGCGCCCAGAGCAAACGGGTGCGCCGCGCTGTTTTTCGGAGTGAAAACTTAATGACAGGAACATTAAGAAGGGTCTCTAGACTCCCGCTCCCGGTTCAGTTTCTTTGTTGTGCGCGGCCAGTGGCCCTCGGTCCCGTCTCCGCGCGCTCCTCTTCCCCTACCCCAAGACTTGCGGAAAGCAGTCATTTTTAGACTCCTTGGGTGGTAACGACGTCAGCGGCGACCCCCGTGCGGGGATGGGGCACGCGGGTGGGGGGCGGTTCTCCTCGTGCTGCCGCTCGTCCCCCTCCGCAGAAACACCTGAGAGAAGCAGGGGGGGGGGGGGAGCTTTTCCAGAACCTTCGTCCAGGCTCACCCGCACTGCTGGCAGGACCCCTGCAGGGCTTCCCGGCGTTAGGATTTAGGAGAAAAGTGGCTGCGTCGCAGGGAATCCCTGGCAGCTGCGAACAGATGTGCGTTACCCAAAGTGCAGCTAACCAAGCTGTGAGCAGGCATGGATTGTCAGCGGCAGTTTGCTAATCTTGTAAAGGTCTTTTAGAGTCACTGAAATGCGATAGATTCTACCCCCCCCCCCCTTCGGCAGCACCTGTGCACCGTTACTACAGCGAGTCTTGCGCTGCTGAGGAACCTGGGGGCTTCCGTATGCGAGCAGCCACGCAGACCTCCTGTGGGTGGCGTTGGCGCAGAGGGGGAAGGGGCCACAGACAACTCTGCATCAGCGTTGAAGGGACGCACAGCTGTGCCGCGGTTACTAGGGATCCGTCTCTAGTTAAACCGCGAGCGACCCCTCCCTGCTCCGAACTGGCCTGGCTAGGTGTCTGCGCTTGTCAGGATTCCGGGCTCTGCCCTGCGCCTGCGTGTCCCCATTACTGGAGTGGAGATTCTGGGAGGTCCGAATCCACGGCCGTGTCTCCGTGTCCCTCGCAGCCTTCACCACTGGGTCCCCTAAAGGTGGTGGTTGGGGGGGATGAATCAGCATGGAGAGGGTTGCAGTGGGGGCAGAGAGAGCCTGGAGATGAGATAGGGGCCCACAATCCAGGCAAAAAGTAACAGGGTCAGCTCCTGCTGCGGATGGAAACGGCAGGTGGTCCCGACGGGCTGCTTTGCCCACTGTGGGTGGTGGAGGCGGAAGAGGCAAGGAGGGGGCCGTTCCTTGTGAATTTCTTGTGAAGTTGATCCACTTGGGGCTGCGGCTCATCCCCACTGGTGAGCTAACCCCGTCCCCAGCCACATTGGCTTTTGGGCGCTCTCTGCTTTTAAAGTTGGTGGCATAGAGGGCTGTTTGCAGCCTGAGGTGAGTCAGCGTGCTAGAGAGAAGTCCGCGGCCTCTGACGCCGGTTTCTGCCTGCAGGGATGCCGGAAGGGCCGTCTGTGAGGAAATTTCACCACCTGGTGTCCCCCTTTGTGGGCCAGCAGGTGGTCAAGACAGGGGGCAGCAGCAAGAAGCTGCACCCACCCGACCTTCAGTCTCTGTGGCTCCAGGACACCCAGGTGAGTTGAGCATCCTCAGGTGCGTTGATTCCCTCGGCCCCTCCCACGCTTCCTCCTGGAGTCTGTCCCAAGACATCCCCGGCTGTCGCTGCCATGGGCCCCAACCAGCACACTGGGACTCCACACAGCTCCCATGGGCGTCACAGTGGGCTGTGGAGACCCTGATTCAGCAAGTCTGGAGCGACTCTGGTCCTTCCTGCTGTGCCCATCAGGCACCTCTGGCTGGAAACCCATGCTAGATCCCACCGGGAAGTAAGGGGAGCTGTGGGTCAGTCCTGGAGCAGAAGTCGGGTTCTTCCCCGCTCGCACAGCGCCCTCTGGTCTGACCCCTGCGCTGCCCTCCAGCCTTCTCCCCCTGCCCACCTGGGGCTCTCCCGACAGTCTGTGTTGCCCATGCTTTTGACCTGCTGCTCCCGTCATCCCGAGCAGGGCTTCCTTTTCTCCCAGCCCCGCCTGTCTCCTCAGCTGACCACGGCAGTTCTGTCTTCTGGTTGCTGCTTGGCTGTCACCTCCTCCGTGAAACCTGCCCTGCCTGCTTTGGACTCCTCTGTGCTTCCTGGGCACCCTGTAGCCCCTCCTCTTGCATCCTTCCTGCTGACTGTGTCCGGCCTGTTGAGTGGAGGAGACAGATACACAGGACGGGGCTGTGTCCTCATCAGTCATGTATCCCGGCTGCGTGGCACCCAGTGCCAGGTGTTTGCAGAGTAGACTTGGGGCTGTGCTGCCGTTTGCTTGGCTGTGTTCTCCAGCAAGCTCCTGAACCTCGCAGCTCTAGTTTCTTCAGAGGTGAAATGGGGATAGGCTGCCCACTTATTACCGTGATCCTAGGACTGGACGTTATGCCTGGCACATTGTAGGCATTTGAGAAATACTAGTTCTGCTTCTACCCTGCTGTTTGCCACCACTATCTCCCACCGCAGAATGGGTAGCTGGTGAGGGGCAGCCTGGAGCGCGGGTCGTCTGACCTCCAGGTGCATGGCCTCTTAGTTCACACAGCCCTGGGAGGCTTACAGGGGTCAGCATGATGCCCCTGTCTCTGGAATGTCCGAGTGATCACAGTGCTGTCCGCAGAGCTGGTGCTCAGACTATTTACTCACTTGTAGCATGTGGCAGCTCTTTTTCTCCTTTTATTGCTGAATTATATTCCATGATGCAGATACACATTTTTAAAAATATTATTTATTTGAAAGGCAGAGTTACAGAGAGAGGGAGAGAGAGGTCGTCCATCTGCTGGTTCACTCCACAAATGATTGCAACGGATGGAGCTGAGCCAATCTGAAGTCAGGAGCTTCCTCCAGGTCTCCCACATGGGAGCAGGGGCCCAAGCATTTGGGCCGTCTTTTACTGCTTTCCCAGGTGCATTAGCAGGGAGCCAGATTGGAGTGGAACATCCAGGACTTGAACCTGCACCCATATGGGATGCCAGCATCGCAGGCAGCAGTTTTACCTGCTACGCCACAGTGCTGGCGCCTGTTACTACTTTTTGATGTGAAGAGTGATGCTGCCCAGGGGCAGGTGTTGGGCATAGTGGTTAACTTGCTGCTTGGAATGCCCAGACCCATACCAGAGTTCCTGGCTTCAAGTGCTCTCTGATTCTGATGATCCTGCTAACACGCTTCCTGGGAGGCAGCAGTTGATGGCTCCTGTATGGCTCCCTGCCACACATGGATGAGACTAGGATCGAGTTCTTGGCTCCTGGCTTCAGCCTGGTGCAACCTTAGCCATTAACAGTTATTTGGAGAGTCAACCAGTGGCTGGAATCTCAATCTCTCTCTTTTTTTTTTCTTTCTCTCTTTTACTCCTCTCCTCCCCAATTTTTCTCTGCCCCCCCCCATTAACTGTACTTTGCAAATAAATAAGTAAATCTTTTAAAAAAAAAAGGCATTTCCAATGTTAATGGCAGATGTTTTGATTTTAAGTTTTTGAAAGACTGCCTGAATTTAAGGTTGTACAGAACAGACATCCTGGCTGGGACCGGCGGGCACTATGGAGCAGTGGGTTAATGCCTGGGCCTGAGGCGCCAGCATCCCATATGGGCGTAGGTTCAAGACCTGGCTCCACTTCCTGTCCAGCTCTCTGCTATGGCCCAGGAGAGCAGTTCAGGATGCCCCAATCCTTGGGCGCCTGCACCCACGTGGGAGACCTGGGAGAAGCTCCTGGCTCCTGGCTTTGGATCGGTGCAGCTCCGGCCATTGCGGCCATCTGGGGAGTGAACTAGCGGATGGAAGACCTCTCTCTCTCTCTCTCTGTCTGCCTCTCTTGTCTTTGTGTAACTCTGAATTTAAAATAAATAAATAAACCTTTAAAAAAAAAAAAGAACACACCCTGGAATCTGGGCATGCAGATATTACATACTAGGAGCTGGCAATGTGAAAATAGAGCACAAAGCAGCTGGAACGTTCTTTTACATACATTTCTTATTTTCATATTCTTTTACTGAAATCATTTTCTTTGTGATAAGGTGAGTCCTTTGCCTTGCTTATTTTTTTTTTTTATTTGACAGGTAGAGTTATAGACAGTGAGAGAGAGAGAGACAAAGGTCTTCCTTCTGTTGGTTCACTCCCCAAATGGCTGCCACAGCTGGTGCTGCGCCGATCAGAAGCCAGGAGCTAGGTGCTTCTTCCTGGTCTCCCATGGGGTGCAGGGCCCAAGCACTTGGGCCATCCTCCACTGCCTTCCTGGGCCACAGCAGAGAGCTGGACTGGAAGAGGAGCAACAGGGACTAGAACCCGGCGCCCATGTGGGATGCCGGCGCCGCAGGTGGAGGATTAATCAAGTGAGCCACAGCGCTGGCCCGCCTTGCTTATTTTATAGTAGTGGTTTGATTCATTTATTTTTGGTGTCAAGATTCAGGTGTGTGGTTTTTTTTTTAAACATTATTTATTTATTTATTTGAGAGGTAGAGTTAAAGACAGTGAGAAGGAGAGACAGAGAGAAAGGTCTTCTGTCCACTGGTTCAGTCCCCAAATGGCCGCAATTGCTGGAGCTGCCAGGACTAGAACCGGCGCTCATATGGAATGCTGGCGCCGCAGGCGGAGGATTAACCTACTGTGCCACGGTGCTGGCTCCGATTCAAGTTTTTAAAAAATATTTATTGATTTGAGAGGTAGAGTTACAGACAGAGGGGGAGACAGAAAGGTCTTCCATACACTGGTTCACTAACCAAATGGCCACAACAGCTGGAGCTAGGCTGATCCAAAGCCAGGAGCCAGGAGCTTCTTCTGGGTGTCCCATGCGGGTGCAGGGGCCCAAGCACTTGGGCCGTCTTCTACTGCTTCCCCAGACTACAAGCAGAAAGCTGGATCAGAAGAGTAGCAGCTGGGACACAAACTAGTGCCCATATGGGATGCCGGCACCACAGGCAGAGGCTTAGCCTACTACACCACAGCACTGGCCCCTAGTTTTTCTTACAGAATTTTTTTCAATTGTGAGTTCTCTTGCAACTTTTATCAAGTCCAATGTGCTGGGCGGGTGTGTGTGTGTAGTAAGGGGCACTGCCTTATACAGTGTGCTGTCGTTAGCTGGTGTCTACTTGTGTGTGCTGATCATTTCCAGCATGAAAGAATGAGAGTTTGTATTTATTTTTTAGCTAATTCATGAAAACATTGGGAGCAATTATTGGGCATCCTTGCGTGGCCTGCTACCTAGCGGAAATCATTTTATTGGTAATCTAATTCTTCCAGTTGGTACCAGTCGCTTTGAAAGCCATGTGCTAACTGCCCACAGCACTGAGATGAAAAGCAGAAGACAGGGCCCAAGCCCTGGACCTGGGAGAGCTTCTGGGGAGGAGACAAGGAAGCAATTCCCAGTAAGGCAGCAATCTGCATACCCATCTTGTGTCCCTTTCTGAATCTCAGATCCATGTTGTTTTCTTTCTAGGTCCATGGAAAGAAATTATTCCTTAGATTTGATCCAGATGAAGAACTGAGGCTCCGTGGCAATGACCCACTTCCAGAACCTCTCCGAAAAGGAGCCCAGGAGGTGGAGGCCGCAGACCAAGAGCAGGCCGTGGGGCCCAGCAGACAGACAGCTTCTGACAAGTCCTCTCAGGCTGCGGCGCTTGCCGTCCCCCCTGGAGACGAGGGGCCCAAGTGTCTGGGGGCGGATTGCCTCACGCCAGGTGCTGAGAGGTGGCTGCAAGTCAGCTTCGGCCTGTTTGGCAGCATTTGGGTGAACGAGTTCTCCAGAGCGAAGAAAGCCAACAAGAGGGGTGACTGGAGGGATCCCGCGCCCAGGTGAGGGAGTGGCTGGCCAGGTCTTTGCGGGGTCTGCAGTACTCACGGGCCCTCGGCAGTGGGGAGCTCCAGCCGGCTACCCGGCACCCTGCTGTCCAGGGGCCAGAAGAGGCTGCTGGGCAAGGGTGCTTGGGAAAGCCTGTGGGAAAATGGAATAGAAGAGAAAGCTTCCTTTGGTGCAGAGCATTCTGAAATCCACACATAGGGTTTTTTGTAGCATGCATTTTCCATGAGCTTTTTGAAGACTCCTCATATTTACTCAAAACAAAGTAGACTATGGAGGCCAGTGTTGTGGGGTAGTGGGTAAAGCTGCCGCCCACGACACCAGTACCCCATACAGGTGCTGGTTTATGTCCCAGCTGCACCACTTCAAATCCAGCTCCCTCCTAATGGCCTGGGAAAACAGCAGGAGACAGCCCAAATGGTTGGGCCCCTGCCACCCATGTGGGAGACCAGGAAGAAGTTCCTGGCTTCTGCTTGGTCCAGCCCTGGCTGTTGTGACCACCTGGGGAGTGAACCAGCAGATGGAAGATTGTTGAAGTTGATTTCTTTCTGAGATGAGGAGTGTGGTGGGGGCAAGAGGCATGGAGTCACCACACAGACCCCGAGAGTTGGGTTAAAGCGGGCCAGAGGCGAGCAGCCCGCAGACTCGTTTATTTCAGTTGGTACAACATCTTATATAGCCAAGATAGCCAATTCAGTCAAGGGGCAGTTTATGCCCTAACCAATCACAGCCTGTTGCCAGGCAGGCTCCGTTGCCAGGTGGGCTTCAAAGCCATTCCTGAGTAACTGACGCTTGATTGCCAGCGGCCATCTTGGCATGGCCTTCTCATTCCACCACATTTCCCCCTTTTCATTTATTTTTGAGCAACGGGAGGCGTGATTCTTGGCCATACCATTGTTGACCCCATTTCCATGTGGTCTCCATACGCAGCTGTGCCTGTCTTAGGTTGTCCCCAAGGGGATCTTACCCGTTGTTGACTAACCAATGCTTAAATCGAGAGACCACAGGAGTTCTTGCCCAGATAGGGGTAGGAATGAGGAATAATGGTTATCAGGAATGGCATGACCGCACACAGGCTGTGGGCCATTTGAGTGGCTGACCAGAGCTAAGTGGGGTATAAAACAGCAATGGATGTGGCTATGGCCAGTTTCTCAGGGTAGGATGATAGGGCAGGTATGTCTGCTAACAAGGCGGACTCTCAGTCTTGTTCAGCTGGTTCTGGTTGGCTGTCAGTTGCAGGCTTTATGTTTCTGGCTGGTACCCAAATGGGCTGTCCCACATTCTCTGGAAAGACACAAGCATATCCTTAACCCTTGGTTAGCAGAGGGTGTGGTCCTTTCCATTCTCCTGTCAGGGGGTCTTTCCACCTAACCATAGGGGCTGGGGTTTGGGATGGAAAGGATCCCCAGTGTTTATAAGCTGGGCTGATCCCTTGGGAATCAAAACTAAGAAAATTGATAATGAAAAGGACCTCATTCAAAGCAAGCTGTGGGTCTGGGGGCATGATTGTTATTCTGTCTTTGTAAGAGATCTTTAATTGTCCTATGAGTTCTTTCAATGATTGCCTGTCCCTGTGGGTTGTATGGGATACCTGTGGCAGACTGTATGTTCCAAGATTTCAGGAAGGAATTAAATTCCTATGATGTATACACTGGCCCGTTATCAGTCTTTATGGTCCAGGGTACACCAAGGACCAGCATGGCTGATTTAACCGCCTTTATCGCATTACTAGCCTTTTCTTCGGATTGGGCTGTTGCAAATACAGCCTTTGAATAAGTATCTACCACCACAGAAGATCTCTCTGTCTCTGTCTCTCTCTCACTTTCTCTCCTATCATCCCTCCCTCACTCCCTCCCCCTCTGTCTCTGTAGCTCTGACTTTAGATAAATAAATTATTAAAAAACAAAAAGAAATTGGACTATGTTGGGCACCCAGGAGAGGACTCCTAACTCACTGGGGAGGCTTAGGAAAGGAGGGCACTGTTCCAGCAGACTTGGGACTGCGGGTAGAAGGGCTCAAGAACATTCTATGGCTTGACTCGTGCTCTCTGAATTTCAGGGCAGGATTTCCCCAGTTTTCATCTGAATGCGAGAACAACCTCTTTGTGCATACAAGTCTGTTTGGGTTTACTTCCTTAGCAATCTGTTCCCAGAGAAGTAATTGCTGGTTGAAGAGAAGGAACTTTCTTAGGGGCACACGTTTTCATGGCCTTAGAAAAGTGATAGCTTAACTGAATTGTCACCAGCATTAGGTCGTTTGTGTATTCCCCTCCGTTTCTTGAAGCTTAACAGATGTGAAGTCCATTCACCTCTGTGATACGTGTTGCCTGTGTTGTTCCGAGGCTGTACTGTGTCCTTTGACTGTGATACCTTTTAGCATTCAGGATTTTTAATTTTTAAATAGTTGATGGTCAGTATAGGTTTTGGATGCATTTAACTTTTTCCTCTCACCAAAGAAGTTGCCTTCCACCCCAAAGTCTTTTTTTTTTTTTTTTTTTTGGTGGGGGGGTAGAGTGACAGAGATGGAGAGAGAGATACACTGGTTCCCTCCCCAAATGGTTGTAATGGACAGGGCTGTGCCAGGCTGACGCCAGCAGGCTTGAACTCCATCTGGGTCTCCCATGTGGCTAGCAGGAGCCCGATTCCACTGCTTTCCCAGGCACATTAACAGGGAGCTGGACTGGAAGTGGAGTAGCCAGGACTTGAAACAGCGCTCTAATAGGAGATGCTGGTGTCTTGGGCAATGGTTTAACCCACTGCACCACAATGCCAGCCCATACACATGGACTTCCTGTGTTTTAAAGGTTTTTTTTTTTTTTTATGTTTAGAACCGTGGTCTTTAAAAAAATATTTTTTTTTCTTTTAAATTTATTTGAAAGACAGAGAGAGATCTTCCATCAGCTGGGTCCTTCCCCAAATGCCTGCAACAGCTGGAGCTTGGCCACACTGAAGGCAGCCTGGAATTTAATAGAGGTCTCCCATGTGGGCGGCAGGGACCCAGTTACGTGAGCCATCACCTACTGCCTCACAGGGTGCACATTAGCAAGAAGCTGGAATCAGAAATAGAAGCTAGACTCAAACCCAGGCACTGCACCATGGGATGTGGGCATCCCGCATCTCAGTCACCCTGCCAACTGCCCGCCCCTGGGCCTGTAGTCTTTATGTATGATGTGATTAGGCGCCATAGGATGCTTTACGTTGTAGAAACAGCTCCAAGTGGCTTACGTGGTAAGGAACTATTTCGGTTAGTGTACTTGAAAGTTCAGAGGGAAAGAAGGAGTTGCCTTCGACTCGGCTCCAGGGTTCTGGCCCCATGTTTGTGGTCCTCCTGGCTTCGCCTTTGTTCACGTTGCTCTTGTCCTTGGAGCTGCAGCGCAGGATGCTGCTGCAGGTCTTGGCTTCGTTTCCACCCAAGACCACGTCCAGGAGAAGAAAGAGCTGAGAGCATCACTTCTGGAAGTGGGGATGAGCCAGGAGCGCTTCCTCAGAACCCCCAGCAAACCTCTTGCTGCCTGAGCTCAGCCCTGCCGATTCTTGGCTTGGTCTCTAGCTCGGACGGGAACGCCCTCCCAGGGAGCAGCCTCGCCCTGGGGCTCATGTTTATTGTCAGAGAATAAATACATGTCCCACATCACGTCCTCGCTTTTTTCTCTCTTCTTGTTAAGTTGTATCCCGTTTCTCATTTTTCACATTTTTATATTTTTCTCTATCCTTTCTCTTTTATTTGTTAGGCTTACCTGAGTTTTATCTACCTCGCTGGTCTTTCAAATTAATATTAGCTTTATAGACTCTTTCTGTGTGGAAGAATATTTCCTGATTTACATAGTGCTTAGGATGATTTTCTAAATAATTTATTAATTTGAGAGAGAGAGCTGCCATCCACTGGTTCACTCTAGTTATCCAGAACGACTGAGCCGGGAACTCAGTTCAGGCCTTCCACCTGGGAAGCAGGAACCCAGCTACTTGAACCAGCACCTGCTGCCTCCCAAGGTCTGCATCTGCAGAAAGCTGGACCCTGCACTGAACCCAGGCACTCTGATGGAAGCTGCCTAACATCTTTTTTTTTTTTTTTTTTAGATTTATTTTATTTACTTGAAAGACACACTTACAGAGAGAGAGAGAGAGGTCTTCCATCCAATGGTTCACTCCCCAGATGGCCACAACGGCAGGAGCTGCACTGATCCAAAGCCAGGAGCCAGGAGCTTCTTCTGAGTCTCCCATGTGGGTGCAGGGGCCCAAGGACCTGGTCCATCTTCACTGCTTTCCCAGGCCATAGCAGAGAGCTGGATCAGAAGAGGAGCAGCCGGGACTAGAACTGACTGCCATGTGGGATGCCGGCGCCTCAGGCCAGGGCTTTAGCCTGCTGCGCCACAGCACCAGCCCCCACTGCCTGACATCTTAACTGCCAGGCTGAACATCAGCCCTGGCCAGGGTGATCTTTTTTGTTGTTTTAAAACTTGTCATTGCGGCCAGCGTTGTGGCGTAGAAGGATAAGCCTCCGCTTGGCACCAGTTTGAGTCCCAGCTGCTTCACCGCCAATCCAGCTCCCTACAACACCTGGGAGAAGCAGCAGAAGATGGCACCCCACACCCATGTGGGAGACCTGGAAGAAGCTCCTGGCTTTGGCTATGGTTAGTGCCAGCCATTTTGACCATTTGGGGAGTGAAACAAAGAATGGAAGATTGATCTCTCTCTGTCTTTCAAATAAATAAATATTTAAAAAAGAGAAAAACAAAAAAAAACACTTATCACTGGATTATGGTCAGACCACAGCCTGTAACTTCTACTTTTGGCACCCATTAAATTTGATCTTTGCTTACATTTTGTGTGCATAAATGAAGATTTACTTTCTTTAGGAACATACAATGAAGAGTAAACATTGCCGGCACTGAGGTGTAGCAGGTAAGGTAAAGCTGCCGCCTGCAGTGCCGGCATCCCATATTGGCACTGGTTCGAGTCCTGGCTGCTCTGTTTCCAGTCCAGCTCTCTGCTATGGCCTGGGAAAGCAGTAGAAGATGGCCCAAGTCCTTGGGCCCCTGCACCTGTGTGGCAGACCCGGCGGAAACTCCTGGCTCCTGGCTTCAGATTAGCACAGCTCTGGCTGTTGCAGCCATCTAGGGAGTGAACCAGCGTATGGAGGACCTCTCTCTCTCTCTGCCTCTCCTTCCCTCTCTGTGAAACTCCGACTTTCAAATAAATAAATAAACCTTTAAAAAAAAAAGAAAGTGTAAACATTAACTGTTATTAAAACATTGAGCAAAGGAAAAGAATAGGTTATTGTTTTGCTAACTCAGAACTTGGCACGAGCCTTCGAGCCTCCTGGGTAGGTAACGGATTTTGTGCAACTGAGCACTGGAGTTTGTTGATTTTGCTGAGTCACTGTCCCAGGCCTCAGCATCCCTGACTGTCCAGGGCTTTCTGGTGGGGGCAGCGTCCCTGCCACGCTGTGCCTTCTCTTCAGTGAAGCTGTTCGTGGCTCGCCGGCCCTGCCCTTTCACGTAATTCAGTGTGTTTACACCCAGTGTTCACTTGGTTTAGCTGTGCTGCTTAGAGGAAGTTGCTGTGTCTCATTAAACTCCAGCTGAAACTCAGGAAATGTGAGAACTGTGCAGTGTGGATTTTGTTTCATTGCCTGTTTATTGGACTTTGTTTTCTTCTCTACTGTTGGATGTACTATTTCTTTTTTTCTTTTTATACTCATGACACTGAGTTTCTTTGGACAGGTTGCTGTTCATCTTCATTCTGATGGTAATTATCTTTAAATGAAAAGTGGATTTTTCTGTTAATAACTTCATTTTTTAATTACATCAACATTAATTATTCTCATTATTAGAACTAATTTTTGGCCAGCGCCGCGGCTCAATAGGCTAATCCTCCACCTAGCGGCGCCGGCACACCAGGTTCTAGCCCCCGTCGGGGCGCCAGATTTTGTCCCGGTTGCCCCTCTTCCAGGCCAGCTCTCTGCTGTGGCCAGGGAGTGCAGTGGAGGATGGCCCAAGTGCTTGGGCCCTGCACCCGCATGGGAGACCAGGAGAAGCACCTGGCTCCTGGCTTGGGATCAGCGTGGTGCGCTGGTCACAGTGCGCTAGCCGTGGCGGCCATTGGAGGGTGAACCAACAGCAAAAGGAAGACCTTTCTCTCTATCTCTCTCTCACTGTCCACTCTGCCTGTCAAAAAAAAAAAAAAAAAAAATTAGGTTTTTGTTTTTTTTTTTTTTTTTTGACCGTTGGTTCACCCTCTAATGGCTGCCGCGGCCGGCGCACCGCGCTGAACCGATGGCAGGAGCCAGGTACTTATCCTGGTCTCCCATGGGGTGCAGGGCCCAAGGACTCGGGCCATCCTCCACTGCACTCCCTGGCCACAGCAGAGAGCTGGCCTGGAAGAGGGGCAACCGGGACAGAATCCGGCGCCCCGACCAGGACTAGAACCCGGTGTGCCGGTGCCGCAAGGAGGAGGATTAGCCTAGTGAGCCGCAGCGCCGGCCAAGAACTAATTTTTTGCTTGTTCTCCTCACCTCTAGAAAAAATCCTTTAACATATTTTTTGCCTGCTACTTTTCTTTTGAAAGATGTATTTTTTTTTTTTTTTTTGAAAGGCAGAGTTACAGAGAGAGAGAGGGAGAGACAGAGAGCGCACTTTGAGCAGCTAGTGCACTCTTCAAATGGCTGCAATGGCCAGGGCTAGGCCAGGCCAAAACCAGGAGCCTGGAACTTCATTTGGGTCTCCCATGTGGTGGCAGAAGCCCAAATACTTGGGACCATGTTCTGCTGCTTCCCAGGGCACATTAACTAATTGCTATTTCTTTTTATTTTTTTAGTAAGATTTATTTATTTTATTTGAAAGGCAGGGTTACAGAGAGGCAGAAGCAGAGCCGGAGAGAAATCTTCCATCCACTGGTTCACTCTTTAAATGGCTGCAGCAGCCAGAGCTGGGCCAATCTGAACCCAGGAACCTGGATTTTCTTCTGGGTCTCCCACGTGGGTGCATGGGTCCAAGGACTTGGGCCATCTTCTACTGCTTTCCTAGGCTATAGCAGAGAGCTGGATCAGAAGTAGAGCAGCCAGGACTCGAACTGGTGCCCTTATGGGCTGGTGGCACTGCAGGTGGTAGCTTTACCTCTATGCCACAGTGCAGGCCCCTACCTACTATTTCTTTTCTCTGACATATTCACCCAACTCTTGAGTTTGCCCAGCTACTTCAGTGTTTTGGATTATTAAGTGAATGAATAGTGTTAATTTACGGTTTAATTAGATATCAATTAAATTGATACTAAATTCATAAATACATAACTGAAGTAGCTATTTTTTTAAATTTATTTATTTACTTGAAAGGTAGAGTTATGGAGAGGTAGAGGCAGAGAGAGAGAAGTCTTCCATCTGCTCATTCACTACCCAGATGGCTGCAACGGCCAGAGCTGCGCCAATCAGAAGCCAGGAGCCAGGAGCTTCTTCTGGGCCTCCCATGCAGGTTCAGGGACCCCAGGATTTGGGCCATCCTCTACTGCTTTCCTAGACCATAGAAGATCTGGCTCAGAAGTGAAACAGCAGAGACTCAAACTGGTGCTCATATGGGATGCTGGCACTACAGGTGATGGCTTCACCCTCTACGCCACAGTGCCGGCCCCATGCTATGTTTTGTTTTAAGAGTTCTTTTGTAACAGTTGAATTACAGCCTCTGCTACACATCAGAATCATAGTCTATTTTTATTTTTTTAAAGATTTTTTTATTTGAGAGGCAGACTTACTGAGAGAGGTCTTCCATCTGCTGGTTCACTCTCAGATGGCCACAATGACCAGAGCTGGGCCCATCCGAAGCCAGGAGCCAGGAGCTTCTTCCTGTTCTTCCACATAGGTGTAGGGGTCCAAGGACTTGGACCATCTTCTGCTGCTTTCCCAGGTGCATCAGCAGGGAGCGGGATTGGAAGAGGATCAGCCAGGACTTGAACCAGCGCCCATATGGAATGCTGGCGCCCCAGGCAAAGGCTTAACCTGCTACACCACTGCACCAGCCCCAGTCACAGTCCATCTGGAGCTCACATATGTTATGAAATTCAGAGCTGTGTGGTGTTTCTCATCTGTGTGTCTCCTGTGTCCTGATGCCCTTGGTGATTTCCTTTCTGTTAGCCGTGTGTTTTACCTGCTGCGTTGTGTTTGAGTCCCTGCTCATGTAGAATTCCCTGTTACTTTTACAGAAGGATCTGCGGGTTTCTGCTTCAGTGTAGAGTCCAGTTCCAGCCGGATTGCCTTCCCTGACAAAGTAACCCGTTGTTTCTTCTCAGGTGATAAGATCAGGCTGCTCTGTCCTTGGCATTCAGGAAGCTCAGCTGAGTATGTGGGAGTGTGTCTTGCTTTGTTTTGTTCTTGGAGAGCCAGAGAGGAGAGGGAGACAGGGACAGAGATAGATGGATCTCCTGTTTGCTGCTTCATTCCCCAAATGCTCACAACACATAGGTGTGGGCCAGGCTAAAGTCAGGAGCTGGAAATTTAGTCCAGGTCTCCCATGTGAGCGGCAGGGACTCCACTACTTGAGCCATCGCCCGTTGTCCCCCAGGCTGCACATTAGCAGGAAGCTGCTGGAGAGTGGGGCTGGGTCTGGAACCCCTGCTCTCTGATAGGGCACGCGAGCATCCCGAGAAGTACAGCCACTCACGCGGTGTCTGCCCCTGGCTGTGTCTGTGTCTGGGGAATGAGCCTGACACTGGTTCCTCTCCTGTGTCCATTGCCCTGTCTCCTTCCTCGTGAGCCAGTTGTGTCCAGGTAGCCGTACTTCCTTAACTTCAGACTTTATCCTTTCCAAATGTTCTGTGAACATGAGTTGCTATAATCAGAAAAATGTGTATGTAGTTTTTCCTTTTGTTTTGAATTCAAGAGGCAAAGTGACAGAGCCCCCCCCCCCTTTTTTTAATTTGACAGAGTTAGACAGTAAGAGAGAGACAGAGAAGGGTCTTTCTTCCGTTGGTTCACCCCCCAAATGGCCGTCACGGCCGGTGCGCTGTGCCGATCCGAAGCCAGGAGCCAGGTACTTCTTCCTGGTCTCCCATGGGGTGCAGGGCCCAAGCACTTGGGCCATCCTCCACTGCACTCCCGGGCCACAGCAGAGAGCTGGACTGGAGGAGGAGCAACCAGGACAGAACCGGTGCCCCAACCAGGACTAGAAACCGGGAGGATTAGCCTAGTGAGCCGCAGCGCTGGCCAGAGCTCCCTTCTGCTGACTTATTCTCCAAATGTCCACAACAGACCAAAGCTGCGTCGCAGAAAAGCTGGATTTGGGAGCTGGAGCCAGAAATCAAACCCAGGCACTCCAGTATGGGATGTGGGCATCTTAGCCAATGGCTAAACACTGTGTGTTCTTTTAATTATTCCATTCAGGCCTGAGATGTTTGTACTTCTTACAGAGCTTCTCTCCCCCTCCCCCTCCCCCTCCCCTCCCCCCTCCCCCTCCTATCCCTCCCTCTCCCTATCCCTCCCTTTCCCTATCCCTCCCTTTCCCTATCCCTCTTTCCTTTTTAAAGATTTTATTTTATTTATTTGAAAGAGTTACAGAGAGAGGTAGAGACACGGAGAGAGAGAGGTCATTCATCAACTGGTTCACTCCCTAAATGGCTGCAACGGCCAGAGCTAAGCCAGTCTGAAGCCAGGCACTCCCTCTGGGTCTCCCACACAGGTACAGAGGCCCCAGGGCTTGCGCCATCTTCTGCTTTCCTAGGCACATTCACAGGGAGCTGGATTGGAAGTGGAGCAGCTGGGACTCGAACTGGCACCCAAATGGGATGCCGGTGCTGCAGGCTAGGACTTTAACCACTGTGCCACAGCATCAGCCCTGCACCTTTCTCTTTCAGGGCCTTTGTTTCCGCAGGTCGACCAAGACTGCAGACAGGAAGCTGTGTGTGTGTGTGCATGCGGAGTGTGCGGAGTGACGGTGTGTACCTGTTGCCTGTGTTGTGCTAACTGCGCGTGTGATCTGTGCTTTCTTCCCAGGCTGGTCCTTTATTTTGGCGGTGGTGGCTTTCTGGCGTTTTACAATTGTCAGATGTCTTGGAGCTCTTCCCCAGTGGTCAGACCCACCTCTGACATCCTGTCTGAAAAGTTCCATCGAGGACAAGCCCTGGAAGCTTTGGGCCAGGCCCAGCCTGTCTGCTATACGCTGTTGGACCAGAGATACTTCTCAGGCTTAGGTATGAGCCATGGAGATGGGATGGAGTTGCTAAATGCTACAAAGTCAGTCGTCTGGGGGTCATGAGACTCACCCCAGTTGGTCTGGCAGCAAACTCTTACTCTCTTTACCCTCATTTCCCATTTTTAAACTGAAGAAGTTAGATTATGCATTTCTTTTTTTTTCTTTTTAATTAAAGATATGTCATTTATTTGACAGAGTTGGGGCCGGTGTTGTGGCATAGCAGGTTTAGCCTCTGCCTGCTACACTAGCATCCCATATGGGCACTGGTTTGAGTCCTAGTTGCTCCACTTCTGATCCAGCTCCCTGCTAATGCACCTGGGAAGGTAGCAGAAGGTGGTCCAAGTGCTTGGACTCCTGCACCCACATGAGAGACCCAGCCTTGGCCTGGCCCAGCCCCGGCTATTGCAACCATTTTAGGAGTGAACCAGTGGATGGAAGAGTGTGCGCTTGCTCGCGCTCTCTCTCTCTCTCTCTCTCCCTCCCCCCCCCTCTCCCCTCCTATCTCTGTAACTATGACTTTCAAATTAAAAAAATATATATTTTTTCCATCTGTTGGTTCACTCCCTAAATGGCCACAATGGCCAGGGCTGGGCAAGCTGAAGCCAGGAGACTGGAACTCCATCCAGGTCTCCCAGTTGAGTAGAAGGAGACCAAACACTTAGCAGGGAGCTGGGAAGTGGACCATCCAGGACTGAAACTGGCACCCATACGGTATGCCAGTGTCAGAAGCAGCAGCTTAACCCACTGTGCCATAAGGCCCCTCTGTGGTTTCTGACTTCTCTCTTGGTTTTGGAATTCACACCATGACTATATTATCAGTTGTTAGCTTTTTTTTTTTTTTTTTAATTTATTTGAAGGGCAGAGTTACAGAGAGAGAGAGGGAGAGGGAAGAGAAGAGAGGGAGAGAGAGAAGATTTCCATCTGCTGGTTTACTCCCCAAAGACGCAATGACCAGGTCTGGGCCAGGTCGAAGCCAGAAACCAGGAGCTTCATCCGGGTCTCCCACATGGATGCAGGAGCCCAAGGACCTGCACCATCTTCTGCTGCTTTCCTAGGCACATTCATGGGGAGCTGGATTAGAAGTGGAGCAGCGTGGACTTGAACTGGCTCTCCTGTGGGATTCCGGTGTTGCAGGTGGCAGCTAACTTGCTATGCCACAAAGCTGGCCCCAGTTGTTAGCTTCTGAACAGGCACATTAGAGCATGTGCTACTAAAGGGCAGGGGTCATGCTTGTACACCCTGTGCTTTCTGCTGCCCACACACTGCTTGGCCCATGGGAGGTGCCTGATCAGGATCTGCTAGGAGCAGAAAGTCTTGCAGCTTGCTAATGGATACTGCTCTTTGGTAGATCTGCTTGAAGGCACAGGTGACTCGTGCCTGCATCATGTTCTGGTTCCCTCTTTGTTCAGGAGGCCTGAGTGATAGACCGTGAGTATTTGGAGGTGGGGAGAACTGAACAATCTGATAAAAGAGATCACGGCTACTTAGCTGGACTAGGAGAGCGTACCGTTCTCATTACCCACAGCCGGGGAGTCTGTGTGACCCAGGACATCAGGCAGGCTGGTGATGACAAAGTCACCTCCATATCCATGGCGTGACTTTGCTGCTGCAGGCAAAGATCCTGCATTCTCCAGGCACTGGCCTTGCTTCCCCATGTAGGACCCTGGGGGCTCCCCTGGCCAGTGACAGAGTAGCAGCTGTAATAACCGGACTGCACTGTGCCGGTGCACGGCTTCATCCTCGCTGCTTTGTGCTGGGAGAAGGTACTTGTTTTCCCTTTATTCAGAAGGTGAAACCAAAGCAGAGGGCCCATTGCAAGTTCAGCCACACAGCTGAAATTCCAGTGCAGTAGCCTGCCCGTGGCCTTGGGAGAGAGAGTGTGTGTGTAGCCAGCACTGTGACTTCGAAGCTCTTGGGAGGAGCAGTAATTCCATTCAGCCCCTCCCCACAGGCATTCAGAGCCCTTGCCCTCGGGCAGGCTCACCTTCCCTCCTCCATGAAGGAAATCTTTGTTTAATGGCCCGGGAAGCACAGATTGTGATAATGCCTAGTAGAGGCACTGTGGGAACATTTTGAAGAATTACTTGATTCTGTAAGGAGGGATCAAGGCTGGCTTCCTGAAGAATGAGGCAGGAGTAGAAAAACAAGAAAATAACACCTCTTAGAGCTTTCTATAGAATAGGCCTTGTGCTTGACATTTCACATAATAGTAACCATTCATGGGGCTGGTGCTGTGGTGTAGTGGGTAAAGCGCTGCCTGCAGTGCCGGCATCCCATATGGGTGCTGGTTCGAGTCCTGGATGTTCCATTTCCAATCCAGCTTTCTGCTATGGCCTGGAAATCGGTGGAAGATGGCCCAAGTCCTTGGGCTCTGTACCCACGTGGGAGACCCTGAGGAAGCTCCTAGCTTCAGATCAGTCCAACTCTGCTGCAACCATTTGGGGAGTGAACCAGTGGATGGAAAATCTCTTTTTTTCTCTCTTTCTCTACCCCTTCCTCTCTGTAATTCTGCCTTTCTTCTTCTTTTTTTTTTTTTTGTAAATTTATTTTTTTTAAAGATTTATTTACTTGAAAGGCAGAACTACAAAGAGGCAGAGAGAAAGAGATCTTCATCTACTAGATCACTCCCCAAATGGCCATGGCTACCAGAGCTGCGCCGATCTAACACCAGGAGCCAGAAGCTTCCTCTGGGTCTCCCACGCGGGTACAGAGCCCAAGCACTTGGGCCATCTTCCACTGCTTTCCCAGGCCATTTTGACAAAGAGATTGCAGGCTTGCCCGAGGTCCCCCAGTATGTGGCGCAGCCAGTTCCAGTCCTCCTGGGTGTACTCGCCTGCTGCTGCCATGCCACCGTCGGCTTGCCCGGCTGACTTTGGGGATGGTTTCCTGTGCCGTGTGCGTTTTGTCCTGGCCTTACCCTCTGCCTGCTTTGTTGCAGGGAACATCATCAAGAACGAAGTCCTCTACAGAGCCGGGGTCCATCCGCTCTCCCTCGGCTCGCTCCTGAGTCCTTCGTGTCTGGAGGCCCTTGTGGACCACGTGGTGGAGTTCAGTACACACTGGCTGCAGGACAAGCTGCAGGGCCGACAGCAGCACCCCCAGATCTACCAGAAGGAGCAGTGTCCTGCCGGGCACCAGGTCCTGAAGCAGGAGCTTGGGCCCCCGGGCGGGTTTCAGAGGCTGACCTGGTGGTGCCCGCAGTGCCAGCCCCGGCTCCCAGCCGAGGGGCCAGAGCAGCACCAGCGCGCCTAGTCACCTGGCCCTTCCTCTGGGGGCCCTGTGTGGTGCCCAGAGAGGAGAGGGATGTCAGTTTTCTTGATGGTCGTCTCACTAGAGGTGTGTCTAAGGAAGCGCTTTCCCAGGGTTAGAGTTTTTTCCTTTTCTAGTTCATTCTTCCGAGGGAAGTTCTAGTTCTGCTATTGGGACAGATGAGAAACATCACGGCGGTGGGCGAGGAGGCTGCCGAGCGCAGTGGGATGTGGAGGGTGAAAGCTCCCGGCCTTGCCTCCCAGGTTCTGAGCTTTGTTTGTGTTTGAACTTCGGTTGACGTTAAGACCCTCCATTTGGAGAAACAGAATTTTCTTTCTTTGTTCCCTTGGAGGGATTGGGGTGAGGAGCTAGCAGCTGTGGTCAGCTTCCTGCCTGGGAGCCTTCCACGGCAGACCCCGAGGGGCCTGTGTGAGGGAGCAGGGAGCTGGCCGTCTTCCTGGCACGCCCTGGGCCTGTAGGGGAAAGCTACGCATGTCCTCCTGAAGCTGATAGAGCTGTGACCATGGATATGTTGAACACTCCAGGAATCAGGGGTTATAGAGAAGCTGCTGTCAGATGGTTGGCAACAACTAGATGAAACAAGACAGTGGCTTGAAAATAAAGTGATTTTCTCTTCTCTTCTCATCTTTATTTGGCAGTAAAGGGTGTTAAGTTGTCAATACTTGAACTCTTTGTGAAGGTGGCTGTGGCCTCGTGGGGCTTGCTGTATCGGCCTGATGCTTCCACACACACCTGCTCTTCTGCCCCAGGTGAGCAGAGATGGACTTTTACTTCTGTCCCCACAGCCCCTGGCACAGTCCTTGCGGGCCTAGTCACCTCCCCAAGACCCCATCTCCAAATACCTCATGAGTTCTGGAGGGACATATTCAGCCCATAGCAGCCAGGTACCACAGTCCCCTCTGTCAGGAGCAGCAGCTGCACCACAGGAGCTCCCAGCCCGGGCCAGCAGCACCTGCAACCTCGGGAATACATCCCTCAGGGTAGCCAGGTTTCCTTTGACCCATCGGCTCTGACAGTGTGACACCAGGAAGAATGATCACTCAGAAATCCCACAAAAGAAGGGTGAAATACGTTTGAGAACTACTGCATGCTGCCCCCACCACCACCACCACCACTTGGAGCTGTATATTGCACATAAAGTCTCTAAGAAATCCCACAGCAGAGAAAACTGTTTCACTTTGCTCTAGATGTTTCTGAATCTTTTACTACTCCTTGGTACACAGTGTAGGCAATGCTGTCAGAACCTGTCTGCTCCCAGACTTGCGAAGGCATCGTTTGAATTTGGATGCTGCAGTGACTGCTTCAAATGTGCCTCTCCACTCTCTCAGTGCAGCACCTGCGGCTGTGGTCCTGTGGGCTGTGGCCAGCAGCACCGTGGCTGTGGTTAGCAATGTCCATGCTGTGGTCCTGTGGCTGTAGCCAACAGCGCCTGTGGCTATGGTCAATAGCACCTGTGGCTGTGCTCACAGTTTACAGCCTCTGTCCAGTCTAAATCCTCTTCACAGAAGAATAGAATTAAAAGAGAAATTTATTTGGGTACACAATATTTTGAAATCCTATAAAGAAGGGGTCTTCAGAAAGTTAGTGGAAAATATCTATTACTAAAAAAATTGTGGTGTCAAATTTTTTGACCCCCAAAGTAAATTTAACTTTCATTTCCATGCCCCACAGGCCTTCTGTGGTACTCTCATTATTGACTACCGCTGCCGAAGTACAGAATGTACTACCAGAGACCGGGCAGCTTAAACAACAGACAGTGACTTGCTCCTCCTCCTGGAGGCTCCAAGTCCAAGGCCAAGTTGTGAGCTGGGTTGGTTTCGTCTGAGGTTTTCGTCCATCTCCTTGCATTGTAGTTGTCACCTACTTGGTCTGTCCTCATGTGACTTTTTTCCTTGTCTGTGTGCACTCTTGGTGTCTCTTATAGGGATGTCGGCCAGGCCCCACCCTTAGGACTTCATTTAACCCTAACCACCTCTTTGAAGGCTTTATCTCCAAACTGGAGTTTAGGGCAGCAGCGTAGCAATTTTAGGGGGAGGTGCTTAGGCTATTGTAGGCTACAAAGGGGATTTGGAGAAAATCCTATAGGTGAGTTTGGGTTTTTGTAACAAGGAGAAGCAGTCAACCTCTGAGTGGCGATCTACTCTCAGGTAAGTCCTCCCGAGACTCAGAAAATGGATTTTACTCTTTTTTTTTTTAATCATTCTGCCACCATTTTGGCTTTTATTTTTTTTCAGGCAGAAACATGGAGACTGTAATAGAATCTTAGAGAAAGGCTTGTGTTTAAGGGGCCCAGGGCGGGGGGGGGGGGGGGGGGGGGTGGGGTGGGGGGGGGGGAAGCCAGTCAGTGATGTAGGAAGGGAGAAAAGAAATCCCAGCAGGAGCTGATGGTTGATAATAGTGGAGTCCTGTGGTGTAAGGCCGCCACAAAACACACCAGACACCAGAGTAAGGGAAATGGTTTATTGGGGAAAACCCTGCAGGCTGGAGGGAAGGGGCGAGGAAGGAAGGAAGAGAGAGGAGCCAGTGAGGGGAGAAGAGAGGAGCGAGAGAGAAGCCAAGAGAGAGCAGAGAGACAGCTGAGAGCAAGAGATGAGAGCAGAGGAGAGGAGCGGAGCCAAGAGAGCCACATGTTCGGGAACAGGTCCTTTTAAAACTTTGCCGGGGGGGGGGGGGCGGGCAGGGAAGTAGGAGCAGCAAATCCCATCAGGATGGGGGTGGGGCTTGACACTGGTGGTTGGCCCATGTGGCCACCTGGCTTTCAGCAATGGCGGCGGGGGCTACGGCCTAGGATGTAGAATCGTGCCATAGATAAGACTGCGCCATTTTCCTAACAAATGGCTGAGGCTGTTGATGGAACCTGAGGTCAGGAGGACTTTCAAGAGAGTAATTTGTGCAGAGTGGGAGCTGAGAAGTGGAATGGAATGGTGAGAACAGTCTGCTGTTTGTTTAGATTTGAAATTCGACATGACCCCCTAAAATTTACACTGAAATGTGGCCCCTCAAGTTCCCCAGAAGTGCTATCTGGGGTGCCACATATGCTACCAGAATTTGGGGTGCCATATGATTTCACCATTGCCTTATTACTAAATCCCCAATATTAATAAGCCCGAGAGGGTTCTTGCCTAATATTTAGAGAAGAATTTTAAATACTGGCACAGATAAATGAGGCAGCGTGGTACGTTTTAAGCTTTTATTTAGTGAGAAAGATGCATAGGAGAGAGCTTTATTAAGAGAGAGAAGTAGGGGTCTGCGCCGTGGCTCACTTGGCTAATCCTCCGCCTGCGGCGCCAGAATCCCATATGGGATTCCCGGCTACTCCTCTTCCAGTCCAACTCTCTGCTGTGGCCCGGGAGGGCAGTGGAGGATGGCCCAAGTGCTTGGGCCCTGCACCCGCATGGGAGACCAGGAGGCGGCACCTGGCTCCTGGCTTCGGATCAGCATAGCTCTGGCGGTAGCGGACATTTGGGGGGTGAACCAACGGAAGGAAGACCTTTCTCTCTGTCTCTCCCTCTCACTGTCTGTAACTCTACCTGTCAAATAAATACTCTTAAAAAAAAAAAAAAAGAGAAGTAAATCTGGTTCATACCGAGCAGCAGGAACCAGCCACGTGGAGGAGCATCTAGGCCTGGAAGCTTAGGGTGCGTGGCCTGAAGGCCTTGTGACCTGGAGGCGCAGGGATACAGAGAGCCTTCTCCTGGCAAGAGGCCAGGGGAGAAGAGAAGGGCTGGGACACACCGGGTCCCGGGCTTTTAACCCACTTCCAAAGGGGAGTGGTTAATTAACTTGATTGTCTGGTGGGCACCCAGGTGTGGCCAGGTAGGGGAATAAGGACATACAGGGGCATGGTGAAGGTATCAGGGCATGAGGTCACACAGGGGGCGTGGTGAAGGCGTGGTCTTCAGCTCACAAATCTTATCAATTTTAGCCTGTATGCCTGACTACTTAAGATTGGCCTCAGAGAAAATGAAAAAGGTTGTCAAGGAGAATTACTACTACTTTTTAAAATTATTATTACTAGAGGCCTGGGGAAGGGGGAGAGAGCTCCCATCCACTGGTGCACTGTCCAAATGCCTGTAACAGCCAGGGCTAAGATAGGAACTTAATCCAGGTCTCCCGCATGGGTGGCATGAACTCAAATACTTGAGCAGTCAACATTGCTTCCCAGGGTCTGCATCAGCAGGAAGCACTTGACCCAGGATTTGAAGCCCGACACTCTGATATGGGATGCAGGCATCCAACCAGTGGCTTAACCGCTAGGACAAACACCCACCGTGAGAGTTACTTTTTAAAGGATGGATATACTAGGAGGACTTGCATATGATTAGTCGAGGGGGAAGAAAAAAAACAAGAAGGGGCAAGTGCCCACTAGTGCCAGCACTTACAGGTGACGTTCTCCCACTAAACATCTTATGCAAATTAGGTGTTACATTAGGATGTGATAAATTGCGTGGGGGAAAAATTAGGATGGGGGATGCGTGGGCCGCGGGTGGGGGCTGCAGCATCAAACAGGGTGGTCCCAATGAGAATGTGGATTCAGTCAGAGACTTCCAAGAGGTGAAGGTGTTAGCCAAATAGCCGGCCACAAAGGCGCTGGGGTCAGAAAGAGTAACGGCCGGCAGGGTTAGCCTTGCAGGGCCCTGGAGACCCTACAGGCGTCTTGAGCTTTTTCTGAGGGAGCTGCACAGAGACTGCAGGGTTTGGGGGCTGTCAGCTCTTCTTTCCAAAGATCACTCGTGCTGACACAGGCTGCAGGGGGCTCTGGAGCTAGTGAGCGCGACGAGCCGCGCTGTTTTCTAAGCCCTCCCTAGGACTGAGATCTACAACAAACTCCCCGGAGGGCTGCTGAGGCTGAGGGCGCTCTGCCCACTGAGGTCGGACCCGGGGAGGGGCGTTTCTGCGAGCCTGGGCCGCCGTGTCTTCCAGGCTGGATGCGGTGGGCTCCGGGTGACTCCTGACAGAAGCTGCTTTTGTCAGTGAAGACTGACAGCTTGGTGGTGGGCTCCCCTTTCAGGCTCAAGCTCTAATCCAGCCGCCAGCCGCAAAGTCGAACAAGTGGGCGGCTTCTGACATCATCGTTGCAGAATCCGTTCAGCGAGTGCGGTCTCCCTACGCGTCCCACGCCCTCGCCAGAGTCGGGGGCCGCGTTCCTCCCGGAGGCCCACGCTCCCCTGTTGGAGGCAGGCAAAGGAAAACAAAAGCCCCCACGAGGGGCACCAATCCCGGATGCCGGCCTCTTTCTCGTCATCCAATGAGATGCTAGGGTGTGGTCGTCACGCCAGGCTCATCCTGCCGCCGGTTGGTCGGTGTCTTCCTGGTGCGAGCAGCCCTGGCCAATCAGCGCCCGTCAGCTCACTCCGCGAGCCCGGGGATAGCGGCGCGAGCGCCCGAGGTCCGTTGAAGAGGGCGGGAAGCAGGCGGGACGCTGTGGCGCGGGCCCGCCTCCGCGCCCGCCCCGCCCCGCCCGCCGCATCGCCTCAGCCTCGAGGTTGGCCGAGTGCTGGCGGCTAAGAGCCGGAGGTCCCCGAGAGAGCCGGCCGCCGAGCCCCGGCCCGACGCCAGCATGGAGTTCTTGAAGTGCCTGAGCCACCCGGAGGAGTTCTACAACCTGCTGCGCTT